CCCCCAAAGAAGGAACCTACAACCCGAGCTCCGAGAAAAAGAGTCCCGAGCTCCCCCAAAGAAGGAACCTACAACCCGAGCTCCGAGAAAAAGAGCTCCGAGCTCCCCCAAAGAAGGAACCTACAACCCGAGCCCCGAGCTAAAGAGTTTCGAGCTCCCCCAAAGAAGGAACCTACGACCCGAGCTCCCCAAGGAAGAACCCAACTCTCCCTTGGAGGTCCTGAGCCTTACAAGGAGCTCAAAAGGCAAAAACCCGAACTGCCCAATGAGTTTGGCAAAAGGTTAGAGTTGTTGAAGGTCAAAACCAAAGAGAGAAACCTAAACGGCAGAAGGTTGGAGAGAATCCAATGAGTTCCAACTCCCAACACGTTTAGATTTCCCTTTTCCATTGTTTTTTTTATTTTTAATTATTTTGACAAAGATAATAAAATAATAGATAATTCCTATTTAACGGAGCAAAAGCGTTTGGATGAAAGGTGCATTAACTGGGACAGGTGTCACACAACTATTAGGTGCTCACTCATTGTGCTTACTTAACATGCCTATTACATTCGGACCCCAATCAGAGAACTTGTTGAAGTGAAATAGGTTCAAATAAATCTCATCCAGTAGATCACTTATAGGCCCCGTTCAATTTTCAATAAGTTACTTACCCGGGTAAATGCAGTTACCTGGGTAAGTTTTTCTTGAGAAATATTTACCCGAATAAGTGCATTCATTCATGTTCTTTTATTTCTCATGTAAATAAAGTAATGGCCGTTTTAGCCATAAAAATCCATTATTAAAAGGGCGACTTTTTGTCCCGTTCAAGTGTTGGCAACTTTCCCCCTAAGTGGGAAAGTTATTCTCCACCTAGTAGATAAGGAAAATAAACTTTCCCTGGTCCCCAGATAAATTTGAAAAAAGAACATGGGATTCTTGGTCATGGAGAACCAAAATCTCATTGACCAACTTCCCCCCCCCCCCCCTCAAAATCCAAAAAAAGAATGCCCCCATAGAGTTCTTGCCATGTTTGCTACGTGACTTGGAGAAGATTGACCATTACCCTTGGGAATATCCTTATCGTTTAATATATAGTTCTTTGATTTCTACTAGGAATTATTACTCTGTCATTCCAAATAAGGGTGTCAATGAACTGGTTTTGGATTGGACCCCATCCAAACCAAAATCAATTTGGATGGATTGGATGAACCAACAAGACATATTGAATTGGACCAAACCAGACTTAATGGTCCGAAGTATTTATTGGATTGGATTGGACCCGGTCCGCCCCTAATGAATTTATATTGAATTGGATTGGACCTAGACCAAACCATATATTCTTCTTCTTCTACTACTACTACTACCAATACTTTCTATTTTCTTCTTTTCCTATAACAAAAATAAGGGTTCAGCCCCTATATTTTTTGAATTTTATTTTCCTTCTTCCTTTTCTTTTCATGAATATGTTGATTTTCTATACTTTAATATGAAATTTATATTTTTCTTAATGAAAATTATAAATAATTATTAAAGAAATATAATTATGATACCTATAGAACTACCCTAGGATCTATGTTTTTAACATAAAAAATCCTACCTAGCCTCACCTTGGCGCCTTGAAAACTGTATTCGCCTGACACGCCCATACCGTGTCTATATTTTGAAAAGCAACTAATAAAATATCAGAATTAACAATAATACGCAATTTCTCATGATTTTCAAATTTTACATAGATATTCCATTAATATTATCACTAAATGATCAAGGCTGAAACATTGTCGTAGTATGCCAACCAAATAATAAAAACTCTGCTAACCAAATTACCAAACCAGGTCTACAAATCCATTCCACAAGCTAAAGATAGAAAAAAAAAATTGAAATGAAAAGTTTGCCTCACCACTAAGGATGAGATGTACTAGTATTACTATATGTCGTGGTATGCCTACTTTCCATATGCATGTCTTATCCGAGCAAGGTTTAGCTGAACGCTTTAGCTGTTCAGCGGGCTGTGGATCCATGCCAGTATTTAAATACATTGGGCCCGCATCTTTACAGTGGGGCCCATGAATTTATTAATGGCGTGAATATCATTGATTCCACGGCCTGCTGAACAGCTAAAGCGTTCAGCTAATCCGAATTCGTCTTATCCACCTGCACTCACTTGCCCAGCATCATTCTCACGAATTCCTCATAGTTGACTTGACCATCACCATCAACATCTGCCTCTCGGATCATCTCATCCACTTCTTCATCTGTTAATTTCTCTCCCAGGTTGGTCATCACATGTCGTAGCTGCCCAGTTTCAAATAGACAAACAAGAAAGGTCAATTTCTTCTGGCCAAGAAGAAAAAACAATAGTATATTTGAAAGGGACAAACATATCCCAACAGCTCCAATAACATCTAAAAGGTATATGTTAATACTTTGGAGTAATGATGGTCTGTTTTGTAATTAGAAATGTTAATCGCCGGTCTGTTTAGTTTAAGGAGACAGCAACTTTCAGAGTAGGACATTTTCTGTAGCCGGCAGTTAAGATGGCAATCCAGAATATGTGACCATTTGGGAGGGGGAATTCACACAGTGGCCTCTGGTGTTACATGAGCTGAGAAACCTAGAACGCCATGAAGCCATGTTCGGTAAAAAACCAGAAAGCTGATAAAAGGCTTACTACATGAGCTGCAAAACTGGCTTTCAGGTAGAGCCATCTCAGGTAGCTTCTCCAAAGTGGCTCGGTCAAAGCAGATCAATCAATGCAAAAGCCCTCCCAAACGATCTCTAGACCACATTATTTAATAATCACCTAACATTGCCACTGTTTCACATGTGTTCAGCTTATGTTCATTTTTCAATAATGCAAAAAGAGAGCCATATCCTCACAATTGATGGTTTGAAATGTAACTAAAAAAGTATTTAACAAATTCTATGGAAGTCATTCATATGTGAAAAGTTAAAATAGATGGCAAGGCATGGGAACCATGTTGCCAATGGCACTGTACATTTAACTTATCGAGAGGGCTCCCTGTGAACACAGGCATCAACGTTTGCCATCTCAATCCTCCATGTCACAGGAAATCCCTCTATGCAGGCTTCAAAGCTGCTGGCAGCAAGATACCAGAATGCATTTTTCCCTCATTTAAAGCAGAGATAGAAAGAGAGGAGAGAGAGAGAGAGAGAGAGAGAGAGAGATTACCTCTGCAGCAGAAATAAACCCATTTTGGTCCTTGTCAAAGACCTTAAACGCTTCCTTCAATTCCTCCTCAGAATCAGTGTCCTTCAAGAGGAGAGAAGAAAAGAATATCAGATAGATGAATTTGCTGATCAAAAACAAATATCAGATAGATGAATTTTAAAGCCAAAGGCACATTGGGCCAAACTCCTAGATATTTTTTTATGAATAAACTGCTACAAAGAATGATAAGTATTATTGAAATGCCATCGGACTAGTTGTGAAACTAAGTAGACCTATGTCAAACTGTGAACAGGTGTTATTTGCATTCAATCTTTTTTCTCCAACGCCCAATGGATAAGAATATATACTTAATGAAAATGCTAGAGTATTAACAGTCCATTATATAAAAGTAGGAAAATCAATATAATGCATTTCAGATTTGCTAATTGAACATTATAAAGAGTTAAGGTCGTTTTTTGTTAGGCACAAAACCAGACTTATTATTTATGTAAAAAGTTTATCAATGGCTTCTAGTCAGTAACATTCTCATGCCACAATCCAGGATTAAGTTTGTGGCTTTGAAAGTTGTCATCTAATATATGGTCATACATTAAAAAATATAAGCACATGGGACTACGACTACATCAGATTCTAATAGATAGTCACCATGAGAAAGAACAATTTGAAAAAACCATATAAACCACAGTCCACAGAAGATAATGCAGCACAAGAACGATGTCTTTAAATTGTACAGTGCAGAGGGAAAAACCAGTATAACATAGTTTTAGCTAAGTTGGGATAAGAATTTCATCCCCCAACCCCACAGAAAAGTATACCAGCATTTTAACTACTGTCTAAAGCCTCAAGCCCTAGGGAACACTTGGTTTGCAGCAATCAAATTTTTGATGAGTTGGCAGAATTTTGAGGAAAAACAGGTCAAAAATGAAAATTACAAGGCAAAATTGGGCCCTGAAGCAGTTACCAGGTGTGGTTGTGGTAGAATGTTCAAAAGTTGCACTGTCACAAATAAAACTACATTCCAAAATAGCCCCTTGATAAACTTGAACCATGTAATGTAGTAGACCAATAAAAATAATACTGTCTCAAAGCAGAAATACATAAGCTGTATAAAAATGGAAGTTCCATACAGCAGATACTAGTTACTTTTGCCCTGAAGCTCTTTCACATTTTGCACTGTGAAATTAAACTCACCTTCATCTTCCTTGCCATCAAATTGAGGAACTCAGGGAAATCAATTGTTCCATTTTGGTCAGCATCAACCTCATTAATCATATCCTGGAGTTCAGCTTCAGTTGGATTTTGGCCCAAAGACCTCATAACGGTACCCAGTTCTTTGGTGGTGATGCAACCTATACAATGATTTGGATTTCAGAAAGAAAACTTCATATTTCACGTGAAGGTGAAACGTTTAATTTTTTGTCAACAGTTGGAATATTCAAGGACTTCCGAATCTTCTTTTCTTTTTCCTTCTTGATTTCCATTAAAAAGTTACATCAATGACTTTAGCAATCATCAATGGTGGAGAAAGCATTAAGGGATGTTGTCTCAGCTTCAAAGGTTTCTCAAGGCCAACATAATTTGTTACCTTGTAATCATAATTGATAGGTTGACAGTATAAAATCCTCAGGCTTGATAACAGCATTATGCTATAAATCAAATTACATTTAGATAATGAGCAAGTTATAGATTAAGAAATAGCAATTCAAGAACAGGTCATATTATGTGGAAAAGCTGCCAAAGTGCATTCAGGACACACTTGGTTTTGAATAACCCAACAAACACCATGAAACATCCATAATATTGTATAACATTTCAATGAGAGTGCCAACACAGAAAGGCAGCACTTATAGAAATCACTTTTTCCTTTACTATTTATCAGAGGTGTTCATGGGTTCAACCGACCCAACCTAGTCAGGTTGCTTATTCAGCAAACCAAAACCGACCAACACTGAAGTAAAACCCAAACATGAAGGGTCAGTTTGGGGAATCTACCCAAGAGACTTCAGATGTGCCAGGCGGCTCAGACCCAAACAAGAGGTTGTGTAGTGTATGCACCTGTGCATGACAGACTCCCTAAGTTTGGCAAGTTTAAGCCTTATGGGTCTTTCTTGCAAGTCTCGCCAATCCCAAAAAGGCAATAGATAAAAGTGTGGGTCTTATTTCAATTAGACTTTGAACTTGACTCAAACTATGACATAAAGTTCAGCTTTTCCCATATCCCATGTTTCCTTTTCTGTGTAAACTTTCCAACTCAAAAAAAACAAAATAAAAAGAGGGAGGAAGAAATATTAGAAAATAGAAATAGCAATCCTAAAACCCAACACAAAAGCATTTCCCCATTTGACTATTGTTACTTAAAGCAGTTAACTAAGATAGGAAAGGACCAAGGACTAAGGAGCAACAGGATGGAAAGTTGGAAACGCACTTTACATTACATGTTCAGTTTGGTTCGGGTTGGTTTCGGTGTTCACACTTGAAAACTGAAACCGACCCAATTTAGCAGTTAATTTACTTACAAGAACTGAAATCGACCGATGATTTTGAAAAACCGACCAAATTTGGTTGGGTTGGGCCGGTTTGGTCGGTTTGACTCGCATTATGAACACCCCTACTCTTTATGACTTAAAGCAAATTCTTTCTACACATTCCAATGCTAACTTTATCCTCACATTGATATAGAAAAAAAAATAATAGCATTACTTACCTGCAAAAAAAATTTAACACAGCACTCTGAGATTCTGAAAATAGATAGATTACAAGAGGTCCTAATCAATTCAGATCAACAAATATCATTATAAAGTAATTCACAAGCACCCAAATCCTAAAGAGTAACATAAAGTGGAAAATGATAGTGCATAATAGCAGGACACTATTCATGTAGACTACCCCAAATACTTGGGATTAATGTTGATGAGTTGAGTCAACCTGACTCCTGAGTTAGAAAGTTGCATGTCTTAGTAAGTCTTCTCCACATACTCTCTTTCAGGCTTTATGACAACACTTCTGTCATTAGATGTTGATAAAAGGGGAACAGCAACATCTAATTTATAGGCAACAAAAGGCAACATAAGGATTGAAATTCATATCAAATATTCATAATAAGTTTTGTACTTTTACAAAGTGATTTAACTGAAATACTTATAGCTTTGAAATTTAGTGAATAAGTCAGTAAATACATTGTGAGCTCCTTTATGGCTAAATGTCTTGTTGGTCCGATTGCTATACTGCTAAAATTTTTATTGTATGATTGTTTTATCCACTAAAAGACAAATTGACAAAGCAATAAGTCATTCAGTTCAGTCACTTCAGCCATTAAAAAATGGCCCCCAGCGTAAACATTGGAAAGACCAGACTATGACAACAGAAAGAATTAATTAAAGATATGCTTCCCTCGGTTAGGGTCTAAGAAAACATACGGGTATTATCCAGCACATTTTGGAAAATATAGCAGAATAGCTTTGACAATTCTATGGTGTGGATGAAATTTTTTCAGTTTCTAGGAAATATTTAATGAATAGGTCATCTCCAAAAAAAATCATTTTGTTAAAGATTCTTCAAGAAATTCATTTTGTGATTCTGGAACATCGAATTCTTGTTATAATACAAGGAAACAGAGAAAAAAGGACACCCAGATGCAAGTAAGGTCTGAATGTTCTAAGGAGATCCAAAACCTTTACACAAGAAGATCAAGTAAGAGGAGGAAAAAAATGAAGACGACAACAACAACAACAAGCAAAAGATCCTCTTTGCAATGCTTAAGAAAACCTCACAGCCGGGAGGGAAAAAGAAGAAGAAGCAAGGAAATGCGTGTTTATAAATAGAAGCTAAAAAAATAGCTCACTTATTAATTTTTTAGTAGTAATGGCAAATGGAAGCAGGAAATGTATATCCATAAACAAAGAACATGTAAAAACTCAGAGACGCAGAATTGACGAAGAGAAAAGTTGTTTGTCTTCATTAAAATAATCAAATATATATAGGCAATTATTACAAGGAGCTGATGTGGCATTTACAAATGAAACAACCAAAACCAAATCCGTAACCGATTAACGAATGGTAACAAACTCATTCTCGAGAGTGAGGTTTATCGCAGCTTCATCGCATAACATCTCAAGAGTGAGGCTCATCGCAGCTTTAGCGCAGGAGTAAAGTTCATCACAAGTTGCTTTATCACAACTTGCATCATCTAGGTATTCTCTCTAATACCCCCCCCCCCCCTTCAAGTTGGAGCATGAGGGTTAAAAATGCCTAACTTGGGTAACAAAGATGCAAATCTATCTCGGCCAATTGCTTTAGTGAAGATATCTACAGGCTAAGCTGATGTAGGTAGATGAGCAGTAGTTATAGCTTTGGACTGAAGGTGTTCTCGCATCAAGTGGCAATCTATTTCGATGTGTTTGGTGCGCTCATGGAACACTGGATTAGCAGCGATGTGGAGTGTTGCCTTGTTGCCACAATACAGCTGCATCGGTTGTGGATGAGAAAGACCAAAATCAAAGAAGATTTGCTTCAGCCATAAAAGTTCACTAGTGGCTGTCATTGCACAGTACTCTGCTTCAATAGAAGAGCAGGCCACTGTTGCTTGCTTCTTGCTCTTCCATGACAAAGGAGATTGTCCTAGAGTTGTAAGATAGCCAGTGACGGATTTCCGACTGGTTGGGCAACCAGCCCAATCCGAGTCACAATAAGCTCGCAATTGGAGATCACAATCAGCTAGGAGAAGTATACCTTGCTTAGTTGTAGCCTTCAGTTATCGGATGACGTGCATTGCAGTGTCCAAATTGTTGTTGTCTAGGATCACTCATAAACTGACTTAGAATGTGAATTGAATAAGTGAGTTCTAGTCTCATAATGGTGAGATAGAGGAGACGACCCACAAGTCGTCTATAATGATTGGCTTGAGCAATTGGCTCACCAGATTCAGGTCCCAAATGAAGTTGTTGTGCAATGGGGAACATACTAGCTTTGCATCCTAGCATACTTGCATCCTGAAGAATGACAAGGGTATATTTCCTTTGACTGAGAAAAATGTCGGAAGAGGACCGAGAGATCTCAATGCCAAGAAAATATCGAAGAACACCAAGGTCCTTGATTGGAAAACACTGTCGTAGGTAGTCCTTAAGAGCAGAAATACGGGTTGGGTCATTTCCAGCAATTACCAAGTCATCAACATATGCAAGTACCACGAGAATGTTGCCTGATTGGACTGAAGTATAGAGGGTATTATCGGTAATTGATTGCTTGAAGCCCCGTTGGCGAAGGGTATGAGCTAGACTTTCAAACCAATTGCGCGAGACTTGCTTAAGGCCATAAATGGATCTGTTCAAGCAACATGCTCGTTGATCCTTAGGAGACAGGAGTCTTGGTGGAGGCACCATGTAGATTTCTTCATGGAGAGTGCCATGGAGGAAAGCATTGTCTACATCCATCTGATGTAGATCCCAATTTCAGGCTGCAACCAGAGCTAAGAGGCAACGTATTGTTACTAGCTTGGCAACTGAGGCATATGTCTCTGTATAATCAATGCCTTTGGTTTGAGTATAGTCTCTTGCTACCAAACGGGCTTTGTAACGCTCAATAGTTCCATCAGATTTATACTTGACTTTGTAGACCCAATGGGAGTCTTTCCTGGTCAGTCAATATCCAAGTATGGGTGCGTTCAAGTGCAGCTAGTTCGCCTGACATAGCTTGTTTCCAACAGTCATGTTTGTTAGCTTCATCATAACAAGAAGGTTCAGGTTGGGCAGAGGGGATTGGTCCCATGGTTAAAAAATTGGAGATTGGGTGGTGGGTGCTGCATGACTTAGTTTGTGATTGAAGTGTTGGACAAATGTAGTCAGCCAGGTGTAGAGGAGGTTTCTTGGAGCAAAGTGGGCGATGGTTATGTGAGGTGGGAGGGCTAGAAACGGCTGGTTCAGAAGTTGGCGAAGTGATGAAGTCCATGTCACCAGTGTGTTCGGGCAATTCTGGACTATCACTAATGGAGGGCTGTGAGCTGTCACAAACAGGTTCAGTTCCAGGTGTTTGACTAGGAACCGTGTCAGCCACTGTATCATCGACTGTTAGCAAAGGTATTATTGATGATGGAAATGGCTCCAAAGATACTTCATCAACAAAGGGAAATTTGTGTTCAAGGAAAATCACATCTCTGGACACAAATGTCCGCTTGGTTGTCAAGTCATAGAATTTGTATCCTTTTTTACCATTAAGATACCCAACAAACACACATTTGGTGGCACGGGTATCAAATTTATCACGCCCATATCTAGATGTACTTGCATAGCAGAGGCAACCTAATGTTCTGAAATGATGAGGGCTTGCTAAAAAGAAGTTCACATGGTGATTTCCCAGCAAGTATTGGAGTGGGCAGGCAATTAATGATGTAGGCTGCTGCCAGAACACATTCTCCCCAGAACTCGATTGGCAAGTGCGCTTGGAACTGCAAGGCCCTTGCTATCTCAAGTAAGTGTCTGTGCTTGCGCTCAATGACCCCATTCTTTTGAGGGGTATCTACGCAAGATGTTTGTTGTAAGATTCTATGTGATTTCAAGTAATCTTGAACAGGTCCAGAGAGAAATTTGGATCCATTATCCGAATGAATATACTTAACTTGAGCATTGAATTGTGTTTTCACCATTTCACAAAACATTACAAGAAAAGAACAGGCATCTGATTTATATCGTAACAAATATACTCATGTAGCTCGAATACAATCATTTGCAATTGTCAAGAAATAATGAGCTCCATAATGAAATAGAGTCCAATAGCCTCCCCAGATGTCACAATGAGTGTAAATTGGGCATCAGATCTAGTATGACTAATAGGAAAAGATAGACGTGTTTGTTTGGCTCGAAAGCATGTATCACAACAATCATCATTTGGTACAGTAATGTACAGTTCCAGAATCAAAGCTAGTTTCTCATAAGAAGCATGTACCAACCTTGAATGCCATATGCGTGGATCATGTGCACGGGTACTGTGCAAAGAGAAGGATGATGAAAAGGACGCGAAATGATACAGCCCGTCACGCACTAGACCCACACCAATCAGCTTCTTGGATGTCAGGTCCTAAAGAGCACAGAAAGTCGGAAAGAATAATACAGCACAGCTCAAATCTTTGGTAAGTTTACCAACAAATATAAGATTGCATTGAAATCCCGGAATGAATAACACACCCTTTAATACCATATCTGAGGACAATGCTATGTCACTCTGTGACTGACCGGTAACAGTGTTCCATTTGGCAACTGAACCAGTTTTAGTGTTGATGCCAAAGTAAAAGATGTAGTAGCAAATCCATAATTAGCAGGAACCATGTGATCTAAGGCCCCACTATCCAAAAGCTAGGAAGAGGTAGTGATTTTACCCACAAAGTTGGCTGAGAAAGTATGTTTATCTTTGTTCAAAAGATCAAACAGACTACTGATGGTGCTCAACAATTGTTGATATTGTTCCTTGGATAGGCTGGGAATGGAAGAAACTCGTTGGACTAAGTTCGTACCAACAACAACCTTTTCTTGATTGCCAGTACTGTTCTTGAATGTGGCCTTTGATTAAGTTCCCCAATTTGGTGGATATCCAAACAATTCAAAACAACGGTCCTTGTTGTGACCCTGTTTCTTGCAGTGATCACATCGAATCTTGGACTTTTCTTTTCCTCCTTTTGGATTGAATTTTGGGCCTGCAACATGAAAAGCGACAGCCTCCACAGTTGGACCATGTTAAACAATCAAAGACTGATGTCTTTCTTCCTGTGACACAAGTGCATAGACTCTACTGATGCTCGTAGAGGATCCATGCTCAAGATGCTCGATCTGATGTTGTTGAATTTTTCATTCAGACCCAACAAAAATTGATACACCTTATCCCTTTCCCGTTCTATAACAAAATTTTTCTGGATTCCACAGGTACACATACATAATGGTCCAGCAATATAGGTTGATAACTCATCCCAGATCCCTTTGAGTTTTGAGAAGTAAACAGAGACAGCGAAATTTTCTTACTTGAGCAGCATGAGTTCTCTTTTGAGATGAAAGATCCTTGGTGCATTTCCTTGTGAGAATCTTTCTTCCAAATCTTTCCACATTTCTTGAGCGTTTTCAGCATAGGCTACACTTTCATGGAGATTTTTGATTAGCGCATTGAAGATCCATGATACCACCATGGAACTGCATTTCGACCAGGCAAGAAATTCTGCCTGATTCGTCGGATCTGGCTTCTGAATCATTCCATTCACGAAGCCAATCTTGTTCTTGGCACTGAGAGCATTAATCATTGCTCTTTGCCAAGTCATGTAGTTGTCTCCATTAAGAAGACAAGAAACAAGCACCGTGCCAGGGCTGTCAGAAGGATGTAGGTAGAAGAGTGAATTCTGATCACCAGAAGAGATCTGATCAGCTATGGTGAATATGGTGTTTCCACTTCACGGCCATCATTGTTGATGACAAAAGAAAAGGGCAAAACAAGAAGGAGACTGGAGTCAAGAAATGTAAAACAAGATGCAGAAGAGGACTAGAAACAAGAATCGAAAATTTCCGCAAGAATCTGAATTTCCCGAGGGCCTGTAATATATATAGGCAATTATCACAAGGAGCTGATGTGGCATTTACAAATGAAACAACCAAAACCAAATCCGTAACCAATTAAGGGATGGTAACAAACTCATTCTCGAGAGTGAGGTTTATCGCAGCTTAATCGCATAACATCTCGAGAGTGATGTTCATCGCAGCTTCAGCGCAGGAGTAAAGTTCATCGCAAGTTGCTTTATCGCAACTTGCGTCATCTGGGTATTCTCTCTAATAGAACACAAATATAATATAAAATATTAGAAGTATAAGATCTCGATCTATCATTCTCACATTCCAAGTCGACAATCCCTCTAATATTTAGAAACAAAACGGTAACGAGCTCAAGAGTAAAGTAAGATTCCCTCTGCTCAAAGCAAGAATGCAAGCATAATAATCAATAACAGTCGAAACTCGTACACCTAAAATAGAAGAGAAAGGCGACTGAAGAAAATAAGCCACTAGCATTTCCATGCAAATCCAGAATGTCAACATTTTAGGGTTTCAATTTGAAAAGAACCTCCGAAACGAAAGCCATAGCTCAATGACGTTACTAAAAACAAGAAATAAACAGATGGAGATAAAATCTACCATCGCCATCCTTATCGAAGAGACTGAAAGCCTCCTTGAACTCCGAGATCTGCTCTTCCGTTAACTGCTCCGCCATTGATTTTTTCAAACAAGAAAAAACCGAAAAATCAGAGAGAGAGAGAGAGAGAGAGAGAGATTTGCTCAGCGAGTTTTGGTTTCTTCTCCAAGTTCTCTTCTTCTGTAATAAAAGGGCAGGTTTCCTTCAAACGTCCGTGAAGACTGGTTGTCACGTGACATGAGCTGTATTGGTCGAAACTTGGGACCCGCCATAATCTTTATTCCAATCAGAAGGCTGTAAGGTGCCATTGATCTGAGTCAGGTTCGTTGTTACCCTTACTCCATGGAGGTATGGAGGTGGCACCGTGGCAGTGTCATTTCAAAACTGAAAGGTTGACCCATTTTGCTTTTTTTCAGTGGATGGGACCATTTATGGTAAAGGGATGGGCCCATTTTGTTTAGACTTTAGAGAGTGCGCCGTGGATGGCTCCTGTCTCCTGCAAATCATACCCATCAGATCAGCTCCAAGCCTCCAACAACCATATGACGTGACGTCGTCAATCCAACCAAACGTGGTTGTCAATGGACCGTTGGACGGACAGCGAATTAGATCCACCTTCCTCTCTCGCTCTGATTGCCGTTTAAACAGTTATAATTGATACAGTGGATCCACGCGCAACAATACCATGTAATAATAGAATAGATGTTCTCTAGTGGATGTGAGATAGTCTATACCTTGAGGTTTGAGGAATTGGCTAGAAGACTGAAGTAGGAAGGGGGAAGAAATGGAGGAAAAAGAAGTGGCCAAACCTCGAGGCGAGGAATTCCCTACTCTCTCGCGAGGGATTAGAATTCCCTAAAATTCTAAAGAGCATTCATAAGTAAATTGTATATTAGAATTTCGAATACATTGTGTGGATTTCCTAAAAATTTCTATGTTGCGCGATGTTTGTCTGGGTCAGCTACTTTTACTGATTTAGAGACTATTAGCCCCCAAAGTTTCGAGGAAATTTTGTAAGTAAATTGTTATATTAATGCTGCGAAGATTTTTGAGTGTATGGATTTTTGAAAATTTTATGTAATACTAGCCCCCAAAATTTTCTGAAAATTTAACTTTGTTAGTTCCAAAATATTTAAATTTTCTTTTAATTTATCAGCCCCAAAAATTTCTAAAAATTTTTAACTTTATCAGCCCCCAAAATTTTCACAAAATTTTTTAACTTTATCAACCCCCAAAATTTTCAAAAGAAATTTACTTTATTAACCCCTAAATTTTCAAAAAAAAATCATTTTTATTAGCCTCCAATTTTTCAGAAAATTTCAATTTTATTAACCCACAAGTTTTCTAAAACTTTTAAATTTATTTAACCCTAGTATTGAATAATGCAAAGTTGTAAATGTTGATGGGTGTGCAGGTTTTGTGTATTGTGATTTGCATAAGGTTTGTATTGCTTAGTTTGCATATGGGATATTTGTGAACTACATGCAAATATGTGGTGTTGTAATAATGGTGGTACAAATATGAATATGAATGTTAGTGTGTTAATGTATGAGCATGTAATAGTGTTATCGGCTATAAGTTTTCTGGTGTAATAGTTGTTTTATCGTATACGAGGAATGTTGAATGGTAAGTTGTAAGTGATGTGTATAGAAATATGAACATTATGCGTGTGGTGGTGTTATGATTGTTATGTTGTGGGTATGTAATGTATAAATTTGTATATATGAGATTATGCATATGTATTTGAGTACGATCGTTATTGTTGAGATGCATCTATGAAATGCATATGAAATACAAAGTTTGTGCATACCAAACGGTTGTGGGGGCTAGTGTTGAGTGTCTCTTAAAGATGTAGAAATATGTTTATCATGGGCTGATTTGATAGTTGTCATTCTTAACACAATGTTAGTGCCTAGAGGATTATCGTCGAACCAGAGCCCTCGGGAGTTAGTAAGTTTTTTTTGTAGCTGATGAGGGCAGATTTGGCCCTCTAGTGAAATTGTGACACATGGCACCTCGTGACAACTAGGTGATACCCAGGCAACAACTTACCAAGTTGGTGTCCCACCCAGGCACCGGCCTGGCCGGCCAGGCGCCGCGGCCTGTGCGACCTGGCCGACCTGGATCAACCTGGCACATGATCCGACCTGGCCAACCTAGCTGACCTGGATCAATTCGGCACATGATCCGACCTGGCCAACCTAGCTGACCTGGATCAATTCGGCACATGATCCGACCTGGCCAACCTAGCTGACCTGGCCGACCTGGATCAACCTGGCACATGATCCGACCTGGCCAACCTAGCTGACCTGGATCAGCCTGGCACATGATCCGACCTGGCCAACCTAGCTGACCTGGATCAATTCGGCACATGATCCGACCTGGCCAACCTAGCTCAGCCTGGCACACAACCCGACCTGGCCGACCTAGCAACCCATAAGACGCCCACCGATAAACTCGGCATGCATACCCCACAAGCTCGGTAGCTCACCAAGGAGCTCGCCAAGGAGCTAGGCAGCTCTCCAAGGGGCTCGCCACCAAGAAGCCAGGCAACTCGGCAGACCTCGCCACAAGCAGCTCGGCATAGCTCCCCCGGGCAGCTCGCCACTTGTAGGGTAGCTCGATACAGAAGAGCAGTTTGGCGTATCGCAGGAAGATCTCCTGCCTGAAAACCGTACCTGACAGATCTGGAGACTTGCGCCCACGTCTCTCGCCAAGCGGCGCCTTGCCTGGCAGAGCCGTACTCTGCAACAGTCGCCTGCACCCGTCGCCTCAGCTCTGATAGCGACGACTACGACAGAGAGACAGAGGCGGTTGTACCTGACTTGACAGAGGCAGTCACGCCTGATTTGACAGGACACCGCTATATAAGGACTCCAACCCCCAAAGGCAAGGGGAGATAATGAAAAAATGGAGGTAATCCCTGCTCTCTAGCTCTCTCATATCATCTTCAAGCTCTCGACAATCAAAGTGCTAACTTAGGCATCGAAGAGTCCCCGTCGGGTAAATACCCCCAGGCCCCCTGGTTCAGTTCTCGCAGGTTCTTCAGCTCCCGCCGCCCACAAAGAGGAGGAAAAGATGGAGTTCTCACAAGTCCCTCAGCTCCCGCCGCCTACAAAGGAGAGGAGATCAACTCATGCAGAAGGCAGTTGGGTTGCGCTACACCAGGGAGCTCCACCATCCTCTGAGTTACAGGCCGCCTAGGAGCAGGTCAAATGACAAGTCCACCAAGGTAGCTCACCACCAGGGAGCTCAGCATAGCTCTCCCCCGGGCAGTTCGCCATCAGGGAGCTCGGCATAGCTCGGGCAACTCGGCATATCTCTCCCCCAGGCAGTTAGCCATCAGGGAGCTCGTCACCAGGCAGCTCACCACCAGGGAGCTTGTCACCAGGCAGCTCACCACCAAGGAGCTCGTCACCAAGTAGCTCACCACCAGGGAGCTCCACCATCCTCTCCTAGGAGCAGGTCAAATGACGAGGCACTTAGCCAAAAAAAAATTGATACATCACAAAAAATTGGTATGTGACCAGAAACGGTTACATCAATTGGCGTCGTTTGTGGGAACACGCTACAAAAAGCTAAGTTCTCATCCTACAAAAGCTAAGTTCTCATCTTACCAAAGCTAAGTTCTTCTCCGAGAAAGCTAAGTCCTCACTTTTTAGAAATTGAAGCTATCGCTTTATAGTTTACATTTTTTATGAACTCAAAGACTATGCAGGGAGCTAACAGACTAAGTAGCTCTACCAACCTTACTTTCAATTCAGATAAAACCTCATCAGTCCTCTCCGCAAGGTCCCTTCTACAAAGATGAGCTCTTAGCGGCTTCTGCGGGAGTTGGTGGCCAACGGACTACATAGGCACCCTTGTTGGTCGAGCCTTCCAAGGCTCCCATGTGAGTTGGTGACCTAAAGTTAGTAGTGCTGCCCCCGAAAGTCGAGCTCCTTGTAGCTTCTTGTAGGAGTGGGTGACCGACATTACGAGACTAATTCAGCGCAATCGCAGGTAGCTCGGCACCTGGTCAGCCTGACACCTCAGGTAGCTCAGCACCTGGTCAGCTCGGCACCTCACAGGTAGCTCAGCACCTGGTCAGCCCGACACCTCAGGTAGCTTGGCACCTGGT